ACAGAACTGGGGTATAGGCCAGAGGTGCAGGGGCAGTGAGAAGATTCAGCAGAGTCAGAATGGGGAGCAGAACAGGTAGGTCTACGAAATACACTGCTGAGGGGAGAAGCCGGCAGGTCAGGAGAGGTCTGCTGCGCCATGTGGATCACCTCTGGGGCAGGTGGGGATTGAACTCATGCTGAAGTGGCTTTAGCTTATTAGTGCTGTGCTTTAATCAGGTGCACCACCAGGGAGGTTCCTGTTTCTCCTTTTATTCACTAACATTTACTCAACATTAAATATATATTAGGAATTTTCCTATCCTCACACAGCATTTTTGCCAGCCTGTGTCTATGCAGGTGCCTCTTTCTCTCTCTCTCTTTTTTCTCCTTTTACTAAAAAATATTCCCTTTTAAAATTTGTGTACTTCATCAATCTGTCTGTCCTGCTATCCACTTTGTCTCTGGCGAATCCTCTTACTGCCTCTGCACCTCTGGCCTATATCCCAGATCTGTATGCATAAATAAATAAATCTTTTTTTTTAAAAAAGGATGTCATTGCTTTTTATTTTTTAAGTATTGCCCTAAGCCCTTTGATTGCCAATATTAATAAAAACATAGCCATCGTCTTTGGAAGGTTATAATGTAGTATGGAACAGGCTATAGGTACACACATACATAAGAGTAAACCGTTACAATGTAGTAAGGCATTCATAATAGAAGTATCAACAAAGTACCATGGGAAAGAAAGAATAGTATTCTTTATTCCAAAATAAATGCTAGTATTATGTTATAGATTATGAGAAATATACTATAATTGGATTAAACACTTAATATTGTTTATTCTTCTTCCCAATATGATATATAGATTCTAATACAATCTCAATCAAAATTCAAGTATTTTTTTAAATGTTATGTCTTATAAAATGTTATAGAGATTTGAACTATACGATGCATTTGAGGCAGGGCAAATCAGAAGTATGAAGATGATTAGAAAGGAAGAGAAAAAGCTATCATTTATACCAATAGAAGTCAAAGAAAAAAATTAGGAAATCAGAGAAACCTTACTTAGAATCTGGACTGACTCTGAACTATTTCTTTTTTTTTAACTTTTAAAAAAATTAATAATGAATACATAAATAAAGAACTATGGTGTGGGTGGTGAAAGGATTCATCAGGGACAGATTGGAGAGCAGAACAGGCAGATTGACTGAAATACACTACTAAGGCAAGACAGGAGAGGTCTGCTGCACCATATGGATCAGCTCTCAGGCATTTAACTCATGTGGTAGTGGCTGATAATAGCTTGAGAATGCTGAGACTTAACCACTGTGCTACCAGGGATCCTATTTCTGTGTCTCAGCATCCCCATCTGTAAAATGTAGAGACTACTGACATACCTTCCATACAGGAAAAATTGTAAAGTCCTGTATTTTATTTCTAGGCAACACTGGATCCTCTCGCCTAAGCTGTGTTGCGTCCATAAAAACCTAAACCTTCAGGATTAATCAACTCTGGTGACTTTATTTATATACTACTTTATGAGATAGTAAACAGTGTTAATGCATTTATGTCAAAATAGTAAGCAAGCCTCTTTCAATTGAAATATATGTTTCCACAACGAAATATTCCACATTTCCACAGTGAAGTATTGTTACATCCCCATTGAGTTCTTAAAATTTAGAAAACTGATGGTGAGGCAGACCTCTCCTGACCCTCCCACTGCTCCCCTCAGCTGTGTACTTCGTTGATCTGCCTGTTCTGTTCCCCACTCTGTCTCTGGTGAATCCTCTCACCCTCCTCATCTCTGGCCTGTACCCCAGTTCTGTACGAATAAATAAATAAATCTTTAAAAAATATTTAGAAAACTGATAACATCAAGTGTTATCAACGATGTGAAGCAACTGAATTTTCACGCATTGCTGCAGAATGGGGTTGGGTAGAGAATGTGTCTTCAGGTGGTTTTTCACGAGTCAAACATATCTTTCTACTACAGCCCAGTAGTAATTCCTCCTAAAGGTATTTCCCTCAAGAGACATTGAAAAGAATATTTGTGCCAAAATAAGTGTGCATAAGTTTCAATCGCCATTGATGATATAAAAAAATGGAAATATCTCACTTGTACAAATACAGAATGGGTTAAAAAGTTGGGGTGTATATTACATGGCAATAACAATCACTGTTTTACCAACATAGAGGATAATAAAAGCATCTCATTCAGCAAAAGAATCCAACAAAAAAGGAGAAAGTACTGTATAATTTTATTTTTATGAATTCCAGGATAAGAAAAACTTAATCTAGTGTGAAATAAGCAAGAACTTTGTTTTCCTGAATGTTGGGGAATATTGTCTGGAAAAGAGCACAAGGAGTTTTCAATATTCTTTATCTGCATTAGAATGTGAGTTATATGGGCATATGCTCATGTCAAAGCTTATCAATCTACGCACTTAACTGCATTTTGCTGTGTGTAAATTTTATCTGAAAATCAAAACTAAATCGAAAAGCGAAGTAGAGGTAACTGCCAAAATTTATACATAAATCACCAGTGATAGATTTTAAGCTTTGTTTCCTATATCCCCCATGTGCCTTTTAAAAACTAACTTTCCAGTCTTTAGGCATCAGCTGATGGCCTGGGGTCAAGTGGTGAAACAATTCACTCCCTTCTCTGGATGGTTTCTTTCTCATTGTTTTCAGCCTCAGAGTTTTTCTTGTCTTTTTGTGACAGTACAGCTATGAATTTTAAAAGATACTCTATTTAATCTTAACTCTTCCAACAGCTTTTATTCAGATTGAATTTTGGAATATCTAATCAGTCATATTGCTAAGAAGAGAAATCTTGTGTCAGTCATGGTTTTACAATCTTGCAGAATTGTTTAATCTTATAGAATTGTGAATTCACACAGTAAAATTCAACAAAATGTGTTCAATTGAATTGAACAAGATTTCAGTTGGATTGTAGTGCTACTGCAGTCTTTATATTTCCAAATAATCCCCAGTTACAGACTGGCATTTCCACCATTGCATGATTTTTTTTTTTAAAGATTTATTTATTATGCATACAGAACTGGGGTACAGGCCAGAGTGCAGGGGCGGTGAGAGGCTTCACCAGAGAGAGAATGGAGAGAACAGGCCGATCGATGAAGTACACTGCTGAGGGGAGCAGCAGGTGGGTCAGGAAAGGTCTGCCACGCCATGTGGTCACTTCCCGAGGCGGGGATTGAATTCATGCAGAAGTGGCTTTAGCTCCGTAGTGCTGTGCTTTTAACTCGCTGAGCCACCAGGGAGGGGCCCTCTGCATGATTTTTATCTTTTCAAAACTTTGCAAAATTAAAAAATATTCCAAACATACCAAAAGTATTATAATTGAAATCTTTGTACTTGCCACAGAGACTAAAGAAATGTTAATATTATGCCCATTTTCTTTAGTCTGTAGTTACATTGTTATGTAAGAGGACAATGCATATTATCAGTTTATACATTTTCTGTATTATTAATTTCAAACAAAGATATTCTTTTTAGTACTGTATGTCTTTTTTGTTTGTTGTTTTTGTTTACATTGAATAAATGTTGCTTTGCGGCACTGTATATGATGCTGAAAATACAGGTTTATGGCTCTTCAGATATATTACCACATTGCATCCACATGAAAGCATCCATTATGTTCCACGGGTGCATTGAATTAATCTCCACATTTTACTCTCTACCTACTCTGTTCTCCTCAATAGCGTAAATTCTATGGTCAAATGTTAAGGGTTTGTTTTCAGCATGGTTTTCCCTGAGCCTTTGTTTTGTTTCTCAGTAGTGCACATATGTGTGAAACTACGTGCTACTTGTCTTTCTCTTTCTTACTTATTTCACATAACAATATCCCCACTAGTTCCATCCCTCTTCTTGAAAATGGTAAGAGTTCATAAATATTTTAATAGCTGGTAGCTTGGAGTAAAGCCATAGTAGAGAATATAGTGAGAAGTAGCAAGATTCCACAGACATTGTAGATTTGTCGATAGACTGGACAGGAAGTGTTAACAAAAAGTTGATTCTAAAGATTTGTTTGAAACAACTGGAAAGATAGAGTTAGGGTTTACTGACTTAAAAGAGTGTAATTTTTGAGGAAAGATCAAGGGATTGATTTGGAATATGAGTTAGCTTGCTTACGAGACAGCTAGGCAGAGGTGCAGTTAGAGCAGGAAGTGTGAGTGGTTTCAGGGAGAGGTTTGGGTTGGAGATGCAATTATGGGAGCATGCAAAACATTGACATTTAAAACATTATACTGTGGGCTCTCCCTGGTGGCATAACGGATTAAAACATCGCATTATGAAACTCCAAAACTACAGCAGCATGAGTTCGATCCCGGGTAAGGAGCTGACCCACATGGCACAGCAGACCTCTCCTGGCCTGCCTGCTGCTCCCCTCAGCAGTGTACTTTGTCAATCTGCCTGTTCTGCTCCCCATTCTCTCTCTGGTGAATCCTCTCACCCACCACACCTCTGGCTTGTATCCCATTTCTGTGAACATAAATAAATAATTCTTTAAGAAAAAAAACCATTATACTGTTTTGAAACTTGCTTTTCCCCCCATTCCACATTTGGAAATTTGTGCTAATACTGTAGTTAAACTGTAATATAATTGTTCCAAGTTCTGTACATAATTCTATTATAAATTAAATTTTATCAAATGTACACTTTATGTAACAATAAACATCTTTTTTCATTTTGAGCATATTGTTTGAGTTTAAAAAATAGATGTTTAGAACTGAAATTGTTTTATAATCTCATGTATGTAATTTATTAGTTATATTTACTTTCTTACATCTAATATTTATGATTAATATTGTTTATAGAAGACAGATATTTTTACCTTATATCATTAAAAAGAAACAATTTGTAGAAGTACCTGGTCTGGAGAATTATGCTGAACATATATGATACATGTATAAAATCCAAATTATATTAAAACTTGCAGTATTAAATAATGAGTAATTAGGTGATTTGGAAATTTATATTTCTCTCCTTTGTCAACAGGTATTTATGAGCCTCCATTTATTGTACTACTGCAGTGAACCAATCTTGGATGTGAAAATTGCCTTTTGTCAGGTGTGTGTTCCTTACAGGTAAAACAAGGTACAGTATATTCCCTTGTATTTCCATTTTGCATTCCATCTTGTATATGTACTCCACACCAAGTTAGCACTTATATAATATTAAAAGTAACTTAAGAAGTAGGGGTGTATATTTAAATATCTTCACTTTTCCACTCAGAATAAAGAGAATGAATTTTAATGATTATAAATATCTAATTTAATATCTGTGTAAAATGCTTTCAGTCAATATTTCTAATATGTATTTTCAAATCCTTGAAATGAGGTTCTAATCATCAAAACAGTTAAAGTCAGTGTTAATTTTTTTTTTCATACAAAGAACTGCTGAGCCCTAAGTGTGCCCCTTATCCACATATAACCACATGGGTGGAGCTCAGTCTGTTTTCTCATGCCCAGTACTAACTAGTAGGTAGTAAGAGAGCAAAACCCAAATAATGACAAATAACGGTATAGTTAGCCTTTATAGAATAATAAGAAGGTAGGGATAATGGTTGGTAGTGTTGTGTGGGCCAGGTTATTATCTCCTATGTTCATGTGAACTCTTATTCTTAAGAAAGAAGGTACTGGGAGTGGGGTGGGAAGCCTCTACTTAGTACCGTTATGTAATAGTGTTCCTCTCTTCTCTCAGGAATTGTTCCTTAGGAAATGAACTATATGGTAAATAATACCACAAATTTTGTGGTAAATAATACCACAAAATAATACAGTTTTTCTGTAATTCTTCTCATTATAGCTTATTGAATTCTCTGTAAACAGAATACTGAAACACATTGAAATACAGTTTAATAAATCCTTAGCATCCATTGTTTTAATATAACTTCTGATTCTAGACAATGTAGCTTTAGTATAGAAAATTTAGAAAGTATGAAGGGAAAGAAAACATGGGATATCCATTCTTACAGAGTATAGGTAGTGTTTCTATAGGAAAGTAAAATGTGTTACATATAATCATTGTACTGAGCTGATTCATGTGCATTGTTGGAACATTTAGGTAATTTCTCTTAACGAGAATTTATATAACATTGGTTAGAAATTTCAAGTCTAGGGCCCTCCCTGGTGTCACGGCAAGTTAAAGACATCATTATGAGGCTGGCTACAGCCTCTTCAGCATGAGTTGGATCCCCAGCCAGGGAGGTGACCCACATGGCACAGCAGACCTCTCCTGTCTCACCAGCTGCTCCCCTCAGCAGTGTACAGCATTATACTTCATCAGTCTGCCTGTTCTGCTCCCCACTCTGTCTCTGGTGATGCTCTCACTGCCTCTGCACCTCTAGCTTGACCCCATTTCTGTATGAATAAATAAAACTCTTAAAAAAGAAATTTTAAGTCCAGTATTTCCTAGTCATTTACTTGTGACTTTGGGCAAGTTACTTAATCTCTCTGTGTGTCCGTTTCCTTATTTGTAAACAAATGGGAGGTATATAACCTACTTTATAAGGTGGTGAGGATTAAATGAGTTAGTATTTGCAACGACTGAGAAATGTACTAGAATATTATTCTGTGAAGAAGCTAATAAATTTTAATTACATTGGCATTTATCTTTCTAATATTCTTCTCTCCTTTGCTTTCTACTCCCCCACCCCCATAATTTTAATTCTGCAATTTTATTTCTAGGACTTTTTTGGTTTAGTTTTGTTATTTGTTTTGTTTCACTAGAGTCCATATATGATTGAAATAATCTGATATTTGTCTTTATTCTAACTTCAGCTATCACAATCCACTTCCATTCCATCTATGTCATTGCCAATAGCAAGATATCTCTTTTAAAAAATAACTGATTAGTATTGAATTGTATATACACACCACATAATTTTTTAATCCTCTCATCTGTTTTTGGACATTTAGGATGTTATAATATCCCATAGCTGGGATATTATAAAGAGAGTTTCAGTGAACGTGAGAGGACATATGTCTACTACAGTTTATTTTCAAACAATATACCTTGGAAGCTTCTCATTTCAGGGGATAAATCATGGATACTGGTATGTTCTTATATTTAATTTGATCACCAGCAGGGTAGACTGTTCTCATTTTTTTAATTGCCACATAGAAAATATACAAATTTGTTGACAATCAGTGAACAAGAGTATCTAGAGCCAGACCTTTTGTGAATTTTGAATTATGTCACATTTTGAATTTTTTTGCTGTTTTTCAATTAAGAAATGATAGAAAATAAAATTATCCAGATATATTTGAAAATATGTACATTACACTATAGGTAAAACGTGCAATAAGGTATGAACTCAATTCCTTTAAAAATTTTTAATGTGATATTTAATGTATATTTTCAAATTGCATAATTTCAACATGTAGTCAGTGTAAGAGTCTGAGCTCATACTTTATTTTATATGAAGAATGTGGGCATTAATTTTTTAGTGTGTTTTATTAATCCCGTTGTTTTATACAAGGAAAACCCAACTAATCAAGCAATTTTTTGTAGGAAATAAATTTACTGTTATAACTAATGATAAAGCTTTCTTTATATTGTTAAACAATAAATAGTCTTTAGCTTTACAAAACACATAGCCCTACAGGAAATTGAAATTGCCCTTGATCTGCCTGAGAAGTAGGTAAGGGAAGAAGGCCTTTTCTGCCTTCTTTTCTCAATAAACTAAGAAGTACAGAGCTGCTATATTTCACTCTATCAATTAAAATAATCTGTGAAAAATGCTATTTTCTGGAACTCTGCTGTGCTGAGCAGAGGAGCCAGAGTTCTGCAGTCAGAACCAGGCGGATAAACAGAGTTATACTGTTTGTGAGAGGGGACGCACTGCTGGCACCCACAGAACTTTCCACATTCTGATGAGTTATGTAGATTCGTGATTTCTTCCCTAAGTGATGACCCCCTTCAAGGTCAGTTCCCAGGGAATTCTTCTGCTTGATTTCCAAGCTCATCATTCCATCTTAACACAGCAGATGTTTAAGATATGTTTTTGAATGATCGAAGATAAATAAAAACCTATTAGAAAAAATGTTTCCTGAGTAGAAATTTGTTTGCTTTTCAAAATGAAGTCATTTTTCTCAACATCTTAGCATCTCAAATGTGTAATTAATAGACTTAATTGTGTTTTGGTTATTTTTCTAATCAGAAATCAGAATTGACCTAACATTTATCTAAAAGCTATCAACATTCTGCTCTCTCTAAATATTTACTCATGCTTGAGTTGACTGAGTCATTTAAAATGATTTCTTGATTTTTAGAAATTCTGCAACATAGAGGCTTTTAGTTAATCAACCATTGTAAGTTTTAAGTAGTTCTAGAAATAGAGACTGAGTTCAAAGGGCTTCTTTTAGACTAAGACATAAAATTTTCATCCTGCCATACATTTTATATGCAAGAAAGTATCTACTTATTGACTGGTTACTTCATTTGTTCAACACATTTACTATATCTTGTCGAAAGCAGGGATATAGGTTGAATGAAGTGGTTACTTCATTCTCAGAAAGGGTATCACCATGCAGGGATGTTGCTGTAGTGCTCCAAAGTCAAAAGATAGAGAGGACCCTATACTGTCCTAACAAATGTAAACAAGCAAACAAATACCTCCTAGTCTGAAGCACAGGGGAGAATAGCCAGTCTTAAAGAAAACCTATTCTTTTTTGAGTTGAAGACTTTAGAATCAGAGAAATAACATACCCTTATACTCCCAATGCTTATTGAATACTTGCTGTGTTTGAGGATTTTATTGATCATGAAAATGACTATAAAGTGGTTGTAACACTTACTATTTTAAATATTATTAAGATATGACAAAAGTAGCAATCTCATTATGGAGTTCTTTTTGTCAAATCTGTTCAATTTTTTTTTAAGCTCTTCTTTCTTGGACCTAGTACATTGTATATGATATCCAAGACATCTTAAATTTTTTTCTAGTTGAAAATTGTTTATCTTAGTAGATAAAAAATATTATTAAATTAGCATTTGCTTAAAATTTATTATTGTCTAATAATAAAAGCATGGTGTGCCTATCAAGTAACTTTCCTAATCACAGATGATGACTTCTAAATAAGTGAAAACTTATTCTTCCACTTCCTATTTATTATCATTTTTAGTCCAGTGTTTTCTTCTACCTTGGATATCCCACACTAATTAAGGCAGAAACTAATAACCAGAGAGCTCATAAAAATAAGTATTCTGGATACCTATGGAATGGTTCCACTATAAGTGATGTGTTCAGATTACTTGTATCTACTACTTAAAAATATCACTAAACCTGACTCTTGGAGAATATGCTTTTAAAAAAAAGTTATTTAATTTCAAAACATGTTGCATTTAAAGTAACTTGACTTTTTCCATTTAATACATTTGCTGTGTCTATGATACTTCTGTTTCAAATACTGAAAATATCCAATTAAAATTTTTACACTTCTTTGGAATAGAGGACACAGGAATTTGCAAAGGAAAATATATTTTGATGGGGGCTGTGCAAAGGGAAAACTTGTGTAACCTAACAAGGAACCTGAAAGTCATATTTGGTGGTCTGTTTTAGATCTTGGAGAGATTATATGCCACCCAAAACACCAGATTTAGGCACTGACTTTATATACATATGACGTAAGGTCTACATTTGAAGATCTTGGTATTTTATAAATGAATGTCTATGATTTGAGATATAATCCGTTCCATTTCAGTTTTTCATGTAAAGGGGAAAAAAAAGTTTATGTGAGTTTCTCCTGAATACACAGGGTTTCCTTTCCAATACATTATTTAAAGGAGTCAAATTCTACCTTTTCTCTTTATCTGTTGTGATATGTTAACACTTAATTTTCTCTTCATTTTCTAAAATTCCAGTATGTATACTTTGCTTTAATGCATAGGTTGCCTATGGAGACTTGGGAAATGTTCTAACACCTGGCTCATATAGATATTTTTTAACCTTTCTTGAGGTAACATTAGATAAAAAAAAACTGTATGTGATTTAGGGGAAGAGGTTCATACCACTTCACTTGCATGTCACCACACTACTGCCAACATCCAAGTTCTCATAGTCCTTTACTGTAGACCTTTGTGTCTGCTTCCTC